TGCTAAGTCTTCGAAGTGCAGCCACTCGCAGCCGACAGCCACAGGATCCAGTCGATGATCGACGGGTACTTGAAAGTATGCAGCCATCGCTCGCCCTAGGGCTGCTCCGATGCTGGCAAGACGCGTCTGATCAAACTCTGCCACGTAGGGCGGAGAGGCACAGTCCGAGCCGTAGAAGCTGCATTCGACAGTATAGCTGTTTATGACGCCGAATCGGCGGTAGGCGACAGACCGCGCCGTTTTCAACTGAGCTTTCGCGAACTTCCATCGCGACGACTCAAAGGAGACATCCTCAGTAGCCTTAGACGCCAGTTTAGGATAGACAGCACACGCGATGTTGGACACACCACAGCCATAGAAGGAAACATTCATCTTCTGCGAGTGTCCGTGGAGGTCGAGGAACAGCTGAGCGCAGACGACCCCTATACTCTCCTCTAGCAGGAGTAGCCGTACGTGAATGTTGGTGATATCTTTCCTTGGGGGCTCATCAAAGGCTTCGGACACTTGCCGTGCTGATCTGAAGTACCAGAGGAATATCCAGGCAGGCTTGGCAGCTTTCCTACAGATGATGACCATAGACTCCCATGTGGAGCATACTGTCCGTTGCGTGGACGGAGGACCTCGCAATTAATGAACCTTCCACTTGTAACGAAGCACACATGTTGATTACAAGTCGCCTTGCTCATGTTGGGTTTCAACGAGCACGTCCTGTCCGACAGCTTGAAGATATTCCTTCAACTTGAACACCTCGAAAGCTGACACACTCGATGGCAACTCTGAGCCACTGAGGATCACCTCAGGATGGATAACAGGATTCGGATCGGTCCAAGTTCGGTTGGGATCAACCCCGGCAAGCGTTGTCCTCGAGTTACCATGAACCACGCCGTCCACATTGACCATAGGTACGATGTGAAAACAGTACCTAAAGCAAGTACTAGCAAAAAATCAGATGCACTTCTCATCATGTGTCATTTCTGGACAGTACAGTGATCTTCGCAATAAGTTTGATCTGTCGTTCTTTCTGGTGCTATCATTAAAACAGAGCTGACAACGGCCATAAAATTGTATTTCCAGTTTATCGTCACTTCTAGATGGACGCTTGATACCGAAAGACACGATGCATTGGTGGACTACTTGGCGCGCAGCTGTCTGGCAGTGTCGCTGAGAAGCCAATGAAGCAGACCCAGACAGATCCAACTCCCCACGGTTTCTCCTGGATGCTGTCTCGCTATTATCACAACTGCTGGCCGACTTCGTCGTACGCACTCAACACGCGCTGAGCTACAATCAACATCACCATCGGAGCGGTATGGCAGTTATCTCACAAATGTCGATGCCATAGAGCTATCTTTCTCGAGAAGTCTACCATGCTTGTGTGCAATTGGAAGAGAGGAGAAGCGCTAACGATATGGGGACTATTCGCTGCACTCACCACCACAACTGGCTCACCGAGGCTTACTCGGGCCTCCAACGAGTGAGGCCGAATCTTGTGTGTTCCAAAACCGGGATTGTCCAACCTAGAATTGTGACAACTAGAGAGTAATCGCTCGACGTGCTTATAAGCAGTTCACATTTTCTCGAGAGTGA